AAGAAAAAGGGGAGAAGAAAAAAGGAAGTAAGAAGATGAGCAAACAGGAGTAGTACCTTGATAATGTAATAGAAAGTTACTCGTGATATCCGTTGCTGTAGGAAACATCTATTCTGTGTGGATTTAAAATTGTTCTTAGTAAATTAATTGCAAGGTGGAAGTTTGTCAGAGGTGAAGCACAAAAGAAGTCTACTTGCACAAAATATGGGGTGCTTATCCGATTCAGCAATACTATGTTATGTAAAAGGGAAGTATTGTTTTACTTTACGTAAAGTCGCGTCGTTAATCCTTATTTCTTTAGGTATGCCTCGAACGTAATCTAATGAGGTTATTTGATTTCCTGAATAATATTATATATAGTATATGAGTATGTATCAAGAGCTATTATGAACAGTTAGTAGACATAGTTGACAAACCGTTTTACATTAGAGCTCCAAACAAATGACTCCACCGTGTATGCAAACCCTCATTGTTGAAATCTGAAGATTTTTTTTCATGAAAAGTCCAAATAGTGCACTAGTGGTTCTGACAAAACCTAGGTTTTTTTGATACCATGGAAAATTTTAGTAAGAGTTATTTTGGAGGCGTGAGAAACACATAATCAATCTATTTGACGCCATTTTTTACCTTAGTGCTTAATTGTTTTGTCAAAGCCCAAAGTTCGCAATTTTGACACTTTTATCCAAAATTCACCCATTTTCCGGTATTTAACTTTTTGTTAACAGATCGATTGTTTTATAACGATCTTAGAAATTACTCAGTTGTGGCTTTAAGGAATGAAAAAACAGCTTATTTAAAATATCAACTAAATAAGAACAGGAATAATCCCAAGCAACTATCGAAGGACTTCGCTAAATGGAATACACATAAAAAATCCACTAATCAAATATCTCAGGGCTTTGAGGACGCAGAAGCCATCAACAATCACTTCGTGAACTTGTTGCCAATCATTCAACCTGATGAGTTATTTCTTAACAGTTTATCTGGGCAGAAAAAGTAACTCGTAACTAAAAGTTCGGTCCATCTAGTTACATCTGATGATATTGAAAGGAAACTGAGAGAAGTGAAATCAAATGCTGCTGGTATAGATGGTATTACCACAATCCTGAAGGAAAATGTATTTTCTTTTTGCAAAAGTGAAATAACGAATATCATAAATCAATCCCTGAACACAGGAGAAGTACCAACATTATGGAAGAAATCAGTTGTAACGCTACTAGCAAAAGTCAATAACGCAATACAGATGAAGGATTTGAGACCAGTAAGCACCTTACCTGTGATGTCCAAGCTTGCAGAGAAAGTGGTAGCTGACCAACTTCGTGACCATCTAGAAGTAAATGAAGTCCTCCCCGATACACAGTCAGGATTCAGAAAACTACACAACACATCCATAGCGCTTATAAAAGTAACTAGCGATATAGTCAAGTTCATGGATGATGGAATGGTGACCGTATTGGTGATGTTAGATTACAGTAAGGCATTTGACATGGTCAACCATGAAGTATTATGTAAAAAGCTACAAATTATGGTTTGTCTAGTAATGCCTTACTGTAGTTCAATAACTACCTGACTGGCAGATCCCAATGCTCAATGATATTTAACAAAATGTCCACTTTACAAAATGTAATTTCTAGTGTTCCGCAAGGAAGTGTATTAGGTCCATTACTATTTACATTCTATACATCTGATTTATTAAATTTTATATCACATGATTGGAATATACATCTATATGATTATGATGTACAGATATGTAAAGCTTGCAAGCCAAATGAAGCTAATTTATTGATTAAAGAATTAAATGTAAATCTAGAAATGATTCCAAACTATTCCAAAAATTATTGTTTGAAACTGAATCCCACAAAAACTAAAGCTTGCTGCATTGGTTCTAGGTTGAATATTTCAAAATTTAAAGGACTGATGAATACATCAATTGTTTTAGGTGATACATCTGTTAAAATTGTAGAGGAGACTAAGAATTTAGGCATTTTATTGGACACAAATTTTAGTTTTGAGAACCATGTCATTAATAAACTTCGAGTATGCTAATGTAAATATAAGTCACTTTGGAGATACAAACATGTTTTAACCAGTGATATAAAATTAAGACTTACCAAAGCACTAATCCTCATTCATCTAGACTATGGCGCTACAGTATATTATAATTTTCTTACGGATGAAATGAAGCACAAAATTCAAGTATTACAAAACTGCTGCACGAGATTCTGTTTCAAAGATATACATATACATGAACATATTACTGGATATTATGTGAGAGAAAATCTTTTAAAATTCAAGTATCGTGTATGGAACTCTCCTATATAAAGTTTTAAAATATAAATTACAAAGGTATCTGTTTATTGCTTTGGAGAAGACATCTAAATTCAAAAAATGTTTTACTTACACGGCACCATATCTACTGAACAATCATTTAGAGCTTTTTGAAGCACCTTCCATCCAAAACTTCAGAAATGAGATGGAAAAAGTGCTACTACAGCTGTAAAGATTTGAATCCACAAATTAAATTTATGGCGCTTGCTACACTACCATCCATGAACACTCAGACTATATCGTTTTATATACTGTGTTACGCATAATATTTGTAGTGAATACTAATCATTCTGTTGATGTTAAAAAACGCTCATGAACTTAACTTTTTAGGGGGAGGTGAAAAATGGTCCTGCCAATCCTCTTTCCTTTTGGAATGTTGTCGTTTTTATATTTTTATGTATATACATTCCGATAAAAATTATTATTATTATTATTATTATTATTATTTTATATGAGCGCATGGTCCCAAGACTTTATACTTCAAATCTATCATAAAACACAGGAAGCCACAAAACGTATAAAAAAATAAGTGTGTTGCTCCAGTTCACTCACATTAAAAACAAATGTTGAAGTTTCATGGGAGCACTTGAATATTCGAAAGTATTTTCATTTTGGACAGAAATGTCAAAATTGTAAATTCTGGGATTAACAAAAAACGATCAAGGCACTAAAATAAAAATGAAAATGTTGACGCAGTTGCAAAAACTTGTGTTCTACATTACTTATTTGCAAAAACATAGATGAGGTCAACTTGGAACGGCCAGGGAAAATGTATTCCGGTAAATTTATTTCAATCTTTAAGGTTTCGGTCTCCAGGCAATGTTGATCAAATATTCTCATTACATTAACTTGAAACAAGGCGATCCAATAGGTCCAGTAGTCTTAGAATTTGGGTACTTATGATTTACACCAATGGCAAAAAATCCGCCCTGTAGCTTATCATTTAGATGAGTTATTTACATTATTAAAAAAATGTTATTGCAAGCCGTACCGATCATTTTGCCCTTTACTACCCTCCGAAGTTGGAGAAATATCTCTGTGAGGGATACGATCCCACAATGACTACCTTTTAATGATTTTTATCATTTTTCACTGACCAATGCTCATATTATGTGCCACATCACTTTTATTAAAAAATCAACCCCTATGGGAAGGATGAGTAGCACGTTAATACCACTAAGCCGGATAAAATACTTTCTTGATACCTTTCCCTACCTATCTATCTAACAATAAGCTGCGCTTAATCACTGTGTTTAAAGCCCTGGATAGTGGACCTTTTTAGAATAGCTGTTAAACCTTCAAAGTATTTTTGTGATTTTCCTTGTCCCTAATAGCACCAGTCCTGACTATAGGTCAGGTTAGGTTAACGGATTTTTCGGCTCTACTTTGGTTCCTCCGTTCTAATAGGGATTGATTTACTATTCCAAAAGAGAGACGCGTTAGTTGAGCAGAGCAAACAACCTTACCATATCGCCATTGTGGTATGATACTACTTTTTGAGAAATATCCTCTAGTAGGGATATTCCTTCGATTTTGAAAGGCAATAAAGACAACACGAAAGTAAATATTGGTATATTTTGAATAAGCAATTCTGTTGAGCTATTATTGATATAAAAGGGACCGATTTCTAGGCATAAATTTTTACCCCCTGACTCCTATGATTCTCTTTCAATCGTCGTGATGCAATGAGAGTATTTGATCAGCATCACTTGGAGAACACGACCTCAAATTTTGAAACACATCCACCGCACACTCTTATCCCATGAGAATAGTGGTACTTTGAGTTATTTCCAGGGCCGAAAACTTAGCTTATAAGCTCATAAGAATGATTTTTCTAATCAATAGAAGAGCTAAAAGATATCCAGTCCGTATAGACAAACGGATTAAAGAAAATATGGAACATGACTACTTCCACAAAAGGTTATTAAACGGCAAGAGTTAAGGGAGTTAGATTTTAAGATCGATTTGGTTGGCGATATACTATTTCGTTCACAAACTTCTGCGTATGGTGATTGAAAATCCTACATTCATAAAAATAGTTCACATGCATCTTTTACATTCAAAAACATGGCTCCAATAAATGCTAAGAACGGCAGGTATATTATCATACACGGGACTTGAAAGAACGGATTACAATTCGAATATTCGGAACGGATATTATCAATAATTTTTTTGTTATGCATTTTATTAGTTACGCGATAGTTTTCTAAAAAAAGCGGTTAGTTTTCTCTATATCTGTTTCACTTTGACTGACTGCAATTTAACTAGACGGTCTTAGCTTTCTTAAAAATTGTTTAGTATGCTAAGTTGGATAAATACAGCTGAGATCTCAAAAATATTGTAAATAATTTATTATAGTAGTAGATGTAGTATAAGGAAGACGGAAATTTTATGAACTGGTGGGAATTTCTTGGAGCATTTTGAATTTAATCAGAAAGTAATAAGCGAGAATGAAAGCTTTCTTTCCATAGTCTCTCATTCACAGCATTGAACGTAATATTTAAGAAAATGCAGAAGCTGCTTTGAAAGTGTCAAGATTTATGGAATTGTTCCTAAAGACTTATTATGTTTGGCAAGGAGATGATTAAAACATGCGCTTTCATTTTTATAAGCTGTGCATTTTTTATATTTTGGAATAAATCAAGTGCAGGTAACAAATATCACATACTCACTGGTCATTTTGATGGGCAAAACGTCAAACCATAATTCCCTTAAAACTCCGGAAAAGGGCTTGGCACAATATTCCGGTCTTCGGACCTTTCAGCGCCAACAACAGACAATCGTTAATGAACTTTTCGCGAGCCAAGAACCATTCGCGCGCGTTCCGCGGTTTGAAATCAGAGCGGCCGAGTTGTAGTTGTAGTAGCTAGCTTCATTTGTTTTTCCGCGGATATCCCAATAGTTGCGTGCGATGTGCGCGGCCGCCTGCACATGATAGCCTCTCGATATTCATTTGTTTTCGGTCATGTATGCAGGTCGCGGGAGATGGACGACGGCTTACGTCACTGCGGCTGTCAAACTCCGGACAAACTATTATGCAGGTCTCTGTCGTAACTATAACACAAACAATTGAAAGGTTGAATCGAAGGCATATTTTACCTCCCTCGCCACTGGGCGAGACAAAATTATAATTGCGACCAAATTCTAAACTTTTGTCGGTCTAACTGCCTGTCGGATTCACGGTCTTCCTGTTGATCTCTCCGCTAAACCTTGGACCGCCTATAACTTGGGACGTATCGTTCGGATTGGGATGAAAGTCAATCATACAAAGATATAAAGATACATTTACAACCTCCTATATGCTACAACCCACAGCCCCAATCTTGAATCCCTGCAAAAAATTCCTAAAAATGAAAAATGAAAAACAAAGCGATTGAGCCATTTTTATTTTTTTCGAAATTTAGCAAGTAGTTCCGCCGTATCTGGATCTATGTTCAAAACCCCCAAAACTTTTTCGGCTTTATCATAATAGGACCTTTCGTCAAAATTCGAAGGAGGAGGAGGGGTCAAGGATCAGCGGATAGACAGACAGACAGAGCGACTCATGGAAAGGAGTGACATGGTCTTTCGTGATACCTATGTCATATAACATCTAAAAAAAGCATCAAGTAGAATGACTCTGTACATCCCACGCCTTCTTCTAAAATTTGTCAATTACAAACTACAGACAGACATGTGTATTCAAAAAAAAAAACGGAATGATGCAATTAATATATAAAACTGTATAACGTAAATTTAGAATGTTCCCATTCCCTTCACAACAAATAAATTAATAAATTAAACATGCTATGCTTTGGTCCATCCTGTCAAAGGCAGCCAACCAAGTACAGCTGGTTCGTGCTTTTTGGCTACCCCACAGCATAGTCTAGGCTTGGGATCTCTCTGACACCGGACGAAAGCATAGCAGTTATACACTATGCAAAGTGTGTAATCTCTCGAAATAAGACAGTGCAAAGCGCCATCTACCACTAGAATCGGCCACTGCAATTCACTGTTTTGCAGAGGTTGATTCTAGCGGTAGATGACGATTCCAAACGTAGGGAGCAACATCGATAATAAAATATCTTCCACGAACATCTGCGGGAATAACAACAGCATTGACCACCATCTTAGGAAGAACCGGGGAAGTTGTGGCTTTGACTTAAATCCAAATCATCCCTCAAATTTATTTTCTGCCTTTATCGCTTTCCCTCGGACCATAACTAGGATGACCTACTTCGCTGTAAAGATCAACTTCCTAAACATCAATCAGCCTGCTTCGAAGGTATTTCTTCTCGGTGATTTCAATACCTATCATGAGGTCTGGCTGAGCTCAAACAAACCGATGCAGCAGGTCATGCTGTTGAAGCATTCTCTAAGGGCTGACCCAGCTGGTCGCGAGCTCTACTTTTTTCCTCGCGATTCGCCAGTAGTCTGCTGGATCTCTTTCTGACTACGCATCCTGTACCTGTACCTTACAAAACTGCTGCCTTGTCACCCTTGGGCAGCTTGGACCATGTTGTTGTGGAATCCAGGTTTCGTTCAGAACCTATTGTGGTAGCATAAACTCGCCCAGGCCGCAAAATTTGGCATTCCGGGCATACCGACTGGGAAATTTTTTCTTCATCTTCTCTTAAAGAGATGATTGTTTTGCTGACCCGGATGCGTCGGCTGCCTGTTCGTTAATAACCGAAATGATCCACGTTGGGTTGGAGGAATACTGACAGACGACCAAGGCACATAGAACCTTCTTACAATGCCCCACTGTATAGAACGGACAAGCTCATGTCTAGGATATGACGAAGCAATGCAAAAGACCAGCACGATGTGAAATGGCACAGGGTAATGTCGCAGCATAATGGCAGTTGGTCTTTCTGGACGCTGGCTAAGCAGATTGAAGGAAACTTCTGAAGGTGTAGCCTTCCACCGCTTATTTGCCAGGCTTAGTTGGAAGTGCTTGCCTAGATCTGTGCTGCCAACTCCACCATAGCCGTCCCCTAAACGCCGTCAACTCAAATGGCTCCCTAAGCTATGCTGGAAGTAACTTTCAGGCATAAGACCGTGATACGAGTCCTCTTGTCAACCGGCATCAACAAAGATAATTGTCCGGCCTTGATTCCTGTCATTGTACTAAGAAGATATGGGGCGGAGCTTGCTCTAGTACTTTCGCATCCCTTCCAGATATCTTACGTATCCAGCGCTTTCCCAAAAAGTTTAAATTTATTCATGTCCAACCCATTCCATAAAAAGGATCTAAGAATGACAGTTAAAACTACAGGCCTATATCTCAGCTTCCTGTTTTAAGTAAGGTGATGGGGAGGTGTTAAGAATCGGTAGCTTCTGGTGTACCTCGAACTTCACGGCTTGATTAGCGACAGGCAGTATGGTTTCCGGCACCAGGGATGTATAACGAACCATCTAGCTTACGTCTCACAACTGTAGAGTAAACTTATCCAGTCTTGTTATAAGGCTGATGGCGTTGCTTTTGACATCATGAAAGCGTTCGATAGCTGTGGCATGCTGTCCTCTTATGTAAATTGGCCTTCCAGAGAAGCTTTGCATATGGATGGCTGGCTTTCTCTCTGGCCGCAAGATCTTCGGCGTAGTTGACGGGTGCTCCTCTTCATCTCACAATGTCAGTGCGGGTGTTCCTCACGGGACGGCATACCTTACGCCATGCTACTGTGGAGGTAAGCTCATCCAATCTTATGATGACGCTCATGTCATTGCTCTTGATATACCGAAAGCATTCGATCAGCTGTGGCAATTCACCATTTTATGCAAACCTCCATTCTATTGCTTCCCATAGCTTCGCTGACTTCCTCTCTGGTTGCAATATATCTGACATTCTCCTCTTCATCCCAAAATGTCAACGCAGGCGTTTCCCAGGGATATTAACGACCTCCTTTCCTGTACGATCAATCCAATCCATAGCTTTGCTTTGATCTCTAGATGGAGGAATTCAGAGTGACAAGCCGACATCTTCCGGTGAGCTGGACCGCTCAACCGTTTTCGATGGATGGCTGAGTTCTATAAGAAAGAGCGACGGAATTTGGCTGGCCGGAGTCAATAGCGGCAGCTGCCGGGAAAAAGCTAGGTCAGTTCTTTCGGCGACCTCCTTACCATGTACAAGGCTCAGATAAGATCTAGCCTCGAATACTGCTCACATCTTTGAAGTGCTGCCGCCTCGACCAAATTATCCTTGCTCGATGCTGTTCAGCTCTCCGACTTATCGATGACTCTTCTGTAACGGACGTCTCGGAACCCTTTTGCACCGACGGACCGACTATTAACCTTAGTCAGACCAAAAATCGGATTAACAAAGTTTCTTTAAGCTCATCTCAGCAACCGCCGTGCCCTGGTGGTTATGCTTCTACCAGCGCGGATGCTTCAGTAAAATAAAAAAAGGTAGCCTAGGAGTAAGAGTATGTTTTGTCTGTCTTTTATCACTTGGACATGATAAACAAAGAATTCCAGAACTTATACAGGGTGGTCCATAAGTCCTTTGAAATTTCAAATTTGAATAAAATTTAACGGGTGAGCGTGAGCGGCGCAGGCGAGGTGGGGGCAGTATCTTCAGTGTCTGGGAATTCAGTCGCCATGGAGTGTTTCACTGGAGCGGATCGTGCTTTTTGTGTGCGCGCGTTTTATCAAAATAATGATTCGGCAACCATTGCGCGGCGTAAATATCAAGAATACCACAATTTACACAATTTTACAAAGTGTCCAACAGCTCAAACGATTAAGATCTGGGTTGCTAAGTTCGATGAGACTGGTTCGACGCTAGATAAACAGCGGTGGGGTCGACCAAGGACAACTCGTATTGAAGAAAACATCAACATTGTGGCACAGTCTGTTCGTCAAGATCCTACCCAGTCTACTCGTAAGCGTTCCAGTGCACTAAACGTACCCAGAACATCTTTACAGCTGATTTTAAGGAAAGATTCACGTCTGCACGCTTACAAAATTCAGTTAGTGCAGGAATTAAAAGATAATGACTCTATTCAGAGATTAAACTTTGCGAATGAAATGTTGAATCGATCTTCTTCGCTCAATAATGTGTTGTTCTCGGACGAGGCTCACTTCCATTTAAACGGGCATGTAAATAAACAAAATTGCCGTTATTGGAGCCCCGAAAATCCAAGGCGTAAGCATCAGAAGTTCTTACACAGCCCTAAAGTTACAGTTTGGGCTGCTATGTCAGCGCATGGCATCGTAGGCCCTTATTTTTTTGAGGACGACAGATGTCGCGCATTAACTGTTACTTCGGAGCGGTATGTAGCAATGATAGAAGAGTTTTTGACACCAGCGTTGCAGAATTTTCCAGGCTATAATACGCAGACCTGGTTTCAACAGGACGGAGCAACTGCCCACACCTCCAACACTTCTATGCCCGTCGTCTGTCAACTTTTTCCCAGCAAAGTAATTTCTCGAAGAGGAGACATTTCCTGGCCACCACGTAGTCCAGATTTGACCCCAATGGACTTCTTTTTATGGGGGTACCTCAAGAGTAAAGTGTACGACACCACTCCGCGATCAGTTGATGTCCTGAAAGAAAATATCCGAAGAGAAATGGCAAGCATTACAGTGTTGACTTGCCGCGCAGTCATCGACAATTTTAGACGTCGTTTATATGAGTGCCGTGATCGTAATGGATTGCATTTAGACGATGTGATTTTTAAAACATAATTCCCATTCAATAAAGATGATAACAAAATATAATAATTCTTCATAATGTAACTAGTTTGGTTTTATTCCTTTTTTTCCAGCTCAAAGGACTTATGGGCCACCCTGTATAATAGGAGGGGGTTGAACCGCACTATGGGAAAGCGCATCATTTTTCAAAATTTATCTCGAAAATTATGCCTTCATACCCTCCTTGATTTTCATAGTCTTGTCTTTCCTTCTGACAGGCTGAGGTATTGGTAGATTTCTGGGTCAGCGTCAGTGCTCTCATATTGGCTATGTTTTCTTTTTGAATTGTATGAAATTTCAAGGTGATATAACAGAGATGACATAAATCAAAA